CGACCCTGAGGGGAAGGATAAGGGCGTAGGCCTAAATGGTGCATTTCTGTTGGACACCCCTGGCGTCTTCCCCCCCTACGTTCGTGACGGCGAGGCTATGCTAAAGTTTTCGCTCGTCCAGGGCATAAAAGACGGGCTAATACCAACTGAGATTCTGGTGGACTACCTCCTCTACCGGATGAATCTCTTCAAGCCGGCCTTGTATAACAGATACTGCGAACCAACCAACGATGTTCATGAGTTCCTCAACGCTGTTGCTTGGAAAGACGGCCTAATAAAGCTAAAGGGGGTTCCCGATTTGCAAGCGGCTGCTAGCAGAATCCTACACTTATGGCGGCATGGCAAAATGGGCAAGTTTGTGCTGGATGATGTATCTGACAAGGGATCAGAAAAGTATCAGCAGTCCATAGACAACCCTCCTCTAAGTCTAAATCAAGCAAAGAAACAGAAGAAACAGGCAATTGCACAAGAGAGGGCAGGCGCCTAGCATTCTCAGGAATTCATTTCTGTACTATGCGTTGTATACTAGAGCATACTCCTTGTACACTATTCAAGCCAATTCTGTCATCTCATGGCAAATTTGATTCGAGTTGTCCTCCTCCATGGAGATCTCTCTCAAATTGTGCAAAGACACCAGTGTCCGAACCCTCGGGCCGTACTAGGGTATATATAAAAGGCAGCCGGAACGACAGCTTCGCCTCCTGAAGCGGTTCCATAGAAAGAATAATATCGACCACAGATTATAGACAAGCTCATACAACTTTGCCTGTTGCATCTGCTGCAGATGCTAGTGACGCCATTTGATGCTCCTAACCGTAAACGCCTTAAATAAGAAATCGAGCGTAGGTCCCTTTTGTCTCATCATGATGGACCTACTGAAACAAAATGCCGCCGTCAGGTATACTGATTCTGCCACTTGACCATATCTCGTGTCAGGACATCCATCATCTCTATACAGTTCAGGTCCTTAAAATCTTTGCCCCCAGAAGAGCTTGCTGTATCCTCGTTCTCTACAGAATGGGAATCTAAGGACTTTTGCGGCGATGCTTCTCCGTTGCTTGCGTTTCCGTTCGTGCCTGGGATTGCTTCCGCTGCAAGATCCACTTGGGTCCTTGAGATAAAATCCATTATGGCGCCGACACGCCGCTTCATATCCACCATATTCAACTTGTGGTGCAAGGCGGGCTTTGACTTGCCATGTCGATGTTCACCTGTGGGTTTCGTGTGTGTAGGGGTGGGTTCTTCGCCGTTCTTTTGAATGTCCCTTGACATGGATCGTGCTGGGGATTCGCCATCCACATCGCGATCCCTCGTGTATTGGTTTCTGCCTTTGCCCTTCTTATGTGTAGCTCTGCCGCCGCGTTTGGCGGTACTTGAGACCGTCTGGTTGCTCGCAGGTGGTGTGTCGGGAACGGGCAGCGCAAGTGCAGGGGTTTCCATTGTAAGTGGTGTCTCGATGCTTTTGGTAGCGGGAGGTTTAGCAACGGCGGGGGGTGTTTCCTCCGAAGGGTCAGAGTCTGTGCAATGATCAGTACCCTGCTTAATCAGAATGTACGTTCCAACTTACCATCTCCTCGTCGCCTTTCTGCGCGGCCTTTCCTCTTATCGGCAGCTTCCTGTCGCTGACGCTCTTTATCTTCCTTCTCCGTCTTAGTTCGCTGGTTCTTGCTGCTCCGAGCTTTCTTGACTCCATTTCGAGTATTAACCTCCTCATCTGATTCATTGTAACTTTGAACCTCGACCAACTCAGTGGGAGGTGAAGGTGACATGGAGTTGGTTCTCTGTCGCTTTACACTTAGGGGGTTCCTTAGTGACGCCAGTTTCTCATCCCGTGGCCGAGCATTTACGGCGATTGATTCTTCACTATCGCTTCGTCCCCGCTTCGCTCGTCGGGTCATGATTTCTTGTCCATCTTGAGGGACGTCTTCTTTACTTGCTTCAATGGCGCGCAGGAGCTGCTCGTCTTCATAAGCTCGGTCGCGGCTATTCATTGTGGATCGACGTTTTGAGGTTTGTGAGGCGGAAGTTGGGCGTGAGTTCTTGCTCGTGCCAGTCTTGGGTGAACGATTGCCATCCTTGGCAATTGAGGTGGCTCGAGACGTTGCGCGCGACGGCCGGTTATGGGGAACATATTTGGACCATTTTTGGCTGGAAAATAAACTTGTCAGTAGTCAGATTCGTAGCAGGGCCACCAACATGCATTGTCCAGGAATTCAAGCATCCCGAAGTTTCAGACATGAAATACGTCTTGACCGCCAAAACAGCATGCTGGAAGATTCACTTACCCGTTGCTTGCAGTGTATATTTTATGGAGATCTTTGCGACATTGCTCGCAAAAATATTCCTCGGGGGAGCTCTCAGCGCTAAAGATGCCGACACAGGCGCCGTGCTGCCAGACCTTGCAAATGTCGCATTGAACGAAGAAGCCGGTAACGTCTTCAGTAAATTCTATGGCATTGAAGAAATCTAGGTCGGCACCTTCCACGGGTGGGCGGCCTGGGTATTCTTCTGCATCACAGATACATCGCACGGCTTCGTCCTCCTCTTCTGGGAGGTCGTCGCTGCCATTCGCCATTTCAAAATTTTCGGGCTTCGAAGTCTTATCGTTTTCGTCTTCGTGGTTGCGCTTTCGCCTTCGACCGAGGAGGGTATCGTCAAGATCTTCAAATGGCTCCGAGGACAAAGAGGCACTGGGTGTGGACTTGTTGGAGGAGGGTTTGGCGACTGATCTCGTATTCCGCTCAACTCGGCCAGACGTGCTGGAGGATACAGATGACTGTTGGGATTGTGAATTGGTGGCGCGGGCTCTTGATGACCGTCGCGGCGAGGGTGGTGCCATTGAGGGAGCCGGGTCACCGATCTGAGGTGACAGAGGAGAAAATGGAAGAAAGAGGACGAGGGAGAGGCTGCGGGAAGCAACAGCGGCGCGTGGAACACAATAGAGTAGGATGTGTTATTCCCAGCGCCGATCGAGAAGTTGAGAGGAAAGGAAATCGCGAAATTGGTGGTGGTGAGCAAGGAATAAAGATTGTTGAAGCTGGCTAGTAACCAGCGCTGAGTGCGACTACTGAAAGAAGAATGTCGAGTAAGGGCGACGGTATCGAAGGACGGGTTGGCAAGCAAGCATGTCGAGACCGAGTAAAAACGCCGTGGTTATGACACGAAGAGATGCCGTAACGATGAGTATGAGAGAGAGACGAGTGGGTGGAAGCTTTCTTCGGAACGAGGAGGAGGAGGAGGAGGAGGATAGCCAGAAGAAGCGCGGGCATGGGCATGGGCATGGGACGGGTGTGGGAAAGTGGGCAGGAAGGTGGGCGCGGGTCTCACTTTGCTTGGGATCCTTCCCAAAGCAAAAGCCGGTGGAACCACTGCGAGCCCACCTGAAGAACATAAAGTTATAGCGCTCGCGCAGACTGAGCCTAGGGGAGGAAAGAAAACTCAGGACCTTGACCCTAAATGACAAAAATCTTTAGGTAAATTTAGCCTAAGCTTAGGGCACTTTTTGCTTAGTTTATTTTGACACCTTATATCAAGGTTCGGTGTTTTCTTGCCGCCTGAGGTGAGCTCACTAACAAGCTCCGATTACAGGGGTCTTTTGGGGTTCACGAACCTGAAAGCCTCTTACGAGAACAGCCAAAAGGTAAAAGATTAGTGCCCACGAGCCCAGTGCAGCGCATCAGAGTGACCTGACGGCTATTGGCCGGCTTTCCAGTATGAGACTGTGAGAGCGGTTTGTTTCCGCATCATTCACGGAGTACCTTGGATTGTTTCCATATTAATTGCCCTACCATGCATGCCCTGCATTTCCTGATGAGTGACATCAGAAAAATATTGAATGCCATGTTGTTCGGGTGAGCCACAAAACAGTTGTTTCACCACGATCCAGTCCAGTATAGATTACTCTGAATGAGTTTACACTCAAAAGCATTGGATCCATTAGAAGTGAACAGTTGAAGCTCAAAATCGTAAACACCAATCATGTTCTTCCTTTTTTTTTGTGGCTGCTGTCAGTAGGAATTGGAGAAGACGGGAAAGCGGGACAAGTCATGGTCATTATTACTGGTACCCTTCATGTATTGGAGGCGCCAGTCTGATTACCTAACCCGCCACCTCCCAACGGCCCTGCCTCTACCTTAGCACCTCCACAGATTAGTAGTTGGTGATTCAATCACACTCAAATACAGCAACCTTGGAGGCGTTACCGGACTTCGCATTGTGTTATTCTGGCTACTTGCTTTGATAATTCTTGCTTCATCAATTTTGTCTACGTTTTGTGCCTACTGTGGCGTCTGCGCTCATACAAAAGCATCCTTCGTGTCCACGAACACCCCCTCCATCACCCTGTCCATGACTGGGTAAGCGAGCCACGGCCTTGAGCGACCAAGAGCGAGCGACTCTGGCAGCCATTCGTATACCTCCTACAGGAATCGATAAAAGTACGAAACGAGCCGAGCTGGTGCAGGCTGGTACTCGTGCCAGAGCCAAACACTCAGTCGTGATATCGGCGATATGTTCTGACCCGCACACAGAACGTTTTTGAGCCCGACCGAACCAAGTTTACCCCTCTGAGCTTCGAAGAGACAGGCATTCTTTTGCAAATCACGGTTTTGGTTTTCTCTGCGGCTTGTATAACTAGTATTGCATTATTGGGTTTGTTTGCCGCCAACGAATTGTACAAGTTACGACCCCTCGTTTGGCAGCATTTGCCCTGCGACTGTCGTGTCTGTCGTCATTTAGAACAGAGCATATACAATGTTCGATGGGTACGCCTTCCATTTGCTTTGCATTTGGCCCGTCAGTTGCCAATCTAGCAGGTATTGACCCTGCAACTGCTTCCAACTGCCAGCAAGGCTGAGCAGCTTCTGACGGCGCCAACAAATCTTCCAATACCATCTGCCACCATGTCGAACTTCGCTATCATTGTGGCGATTCTCCTAATCGTTCTGGTGATCTACGTGCTAACGAGAATTGTTCGTTCACGCGCAGGTCATAATCTCAACATGTTGCCAGATACTGTATCGTCGCAGTTCCCGGACCGACCGATTCGGCCGTTACCGAAACGTCGACTGCGCGAGAAGCTCTCACCAGGGACCGTAGAGACAATAGCGTATCCTCCTTCAACTCAGGAAACTACGCCTCTCTTTTATTACCCCCCATACAACTTCAGAAAACACACGAGCCCGCCAAGGGCATGTTCTACAAGCCCATCTCAACAAACTCGTCGAGCGGAGGAGGGCTGCAACTATACCCCTCGACGAAACGGGCTGGGGCTACCAGATGGCGAAGACGAAGAGCCGGCTTTGCGAAGCACTCTTGTTACTAGAACACCCCCAGAGATCTTGACTCGCGAGACTCAGCGATCCTCGAAGCCAGATATCCCTGATCCGCAACCGCCGCTTTCCGCAACGTCCTCTGTGGATGGTTATGATGTATTTGAAAACACGAACAACAAAAAGAAGCGGAAAATTCCTTCCGCTGGGGAGCTTTCTGTTAATGGTACCCAGGGCTCGAATAATGAGATTGCCATTTCAGCTGGTGCAGGTCATTCTCCTACCGATGAATCACACAACGACGGGGCGCACTCCCACTCAGTCTCACATCCAACGACGGGCACTTTTTTATCCAACAATCAGGGGATATCAGGACCTGGGCGGGGCAGGCTTGGGCGTTCAAGGAATGGCAGAAGCCCACTACGAGCATTGTCTGATGGCAACAGTAATGCGTGGGCCGGGCGAGGCTCAAAAGCCACTGCATCTCAGTGGACAACGGGCGGTGCGTTAATCATTCTTCTCCTTTTTTCATGCTCTGTTGCTGTGCTTCAAACTCCTACACATGGATTTATCACTAGCGTTGACATTCAACCGAGTTTCTGAATACGTTATGCCGCTACACCTTTCGTTATGGAGAGGTTGTTCAGCCATGGGCTTTCCTGCTCTGCCCTCCATGGCTTTCGGCTAACAGCATAAAACGGAACGGAGTCTTGCACACCATTTTCCATATCTCTTCCGGTGACAATTCACACTGCCGCGTGGCTGATGGAATTTCATCCCCCCAAACAGTCCGACCTCGATCTCTGTTTCTTCCACAACTGCGCATCTTGCTATGACAGATTTCTAGCTGCTAACGCGAACTCAGAGCAGGAGGGCAGTGGTATAATATCAAATGCTATCGCAAACGCCGAGAAACTTCGACCTCAGGGACAGGAGAACGTGAGTCTGCTTCAGCAACACTCTATCGCAACAAGATCGACTCCAGCATCGACCCAATTCACTTTCACCTGTGATTCCCAAGTTCCTGGCATGATTCAGTGGCCTGGTGAGTACATGTTGCACTGTTGAGACTTTGATTTACTGACATAGCCGTTAGGCCACTCGAGCAAGCACAGCATGTCAACTCAGGCTGGCCCTGGCTCCTTACCACCTGGCAGTGTTGCTCCTCACGATGGGTCTTCCGTGGCAGCTAGTCGAGGCTCCGGAAGTTCTCGTCGAGACAGCAAACGACGCCTAGACAGATCACTCGAAAGGGCTGCGCGTCGTCGTCGTCAAGAGGCGCGGCGGGATTCCACCAAAACAGCTGACGAATGGATTTGCGAATTCTGTGAATATGAGATGATATTTGGGGTACCACCCAAAGCATTGATCCGGCAGTATGAGATGAAAGACCGTCGGCGCCGACAGGAAGAAGCTGATCGCAAACGACTTCTCGAAAAGGCCAAGGAGAAAAGTCGGAAGGCCAGAAAGGGCGGCAAGAAAGCTGCATCTCGGGGCGAGAATGCTGCCGCTCAGAACTCGCTTCAGGAGCCTAGCACATCTGTGGACATGAACCACAATCATTCAAATCAGTCAGTAGAGGACGAGAACCATTTCCCGAATTCCCCGGGAGATCGCACTGGGCCAGACATACCGACTGAGATCCAGTCATCATAGTTTGCAAGCATGATTCAGTGGAAGGGGCCGCTCCCAGCAATCGCGGTACTCCCTATTCTAGCCTTGATGGTCGGGGTCCGTCGGCGACCAACAAAGCTATGAAAGGGTGATGTGTACTTAGAAGATATCAGTGAACCAAGACACTGCGGTGACTGGCATCTGAAAATGAGGCACTCTTGCTCTTGAAGATGAAGAAAGGCACGGAGCCCTGCCTACGACAGGTTTTCTTGCTTGTTACTATTGGAGGAAGTGCGGATAACAAGAGACTGAGCTACTCGGTGGGGAGGCGGCTCAGTAACGACACGAAAGTGACATTTGGTTTATCGAGGACAGGCAGGGGATAGGAATAGTTAGAATGTTGTTGTGGCTTGGGTCACCACAAACAGCACTTGGATTCAATCAGCCAGACCAAAGTCACATTGTATGATAACAGGGCTATCCTAACTTGTTCAACATTTCTTATTAACCACATATTGCTTGCCTGTTTCAACTTATGAATATGCACAGACTGTTAACTACCGCAAAATTGCGTGAAAGCGAATTGGCTACGACTGAAACGTCCTAGACTCCCAGCTAAGCTATGACGTCAGAAAGCTGTTCAGTTCAGCTGGAGATTTGATCAAGGTGGGTTTTGATCTAGGATATGCGGAGATATGGGGCTTTATTATTAGCTTACCTACATCTACTCCGTACGTAGTCCAAGTCAAGAGTGGTTGAATTGTGTTTGCAACAGCATACTGAAAAGAATGCTCTATAAAACTGATTGTATGCATAGGCCATGAGCAGTGTATTTTCTTCTACATATGCTGCATGATTTACAGTCTTGTTGTTCCAACTGCCTAGGTACTAAGGTATTAGTACTATACTTGTACAATTGGTCTCTCAGGTCCATCCGAGTCCCGATACAGAACAATGCCACTAACACGAAGATCAGTCCCTCAGTGGGTCAGGGTCGGTCTTTGAATGAGCCAGCGGCCGTGCCTCAGGTCGAGCAACCTAAGAACCAAGCAAGATTAGTCCCCAGATTGTTTATGTTTATTCCGCCGAGCAATCTTTGTACTGTAGATCTCGGCAGGTAGAAACTGGAGGCCTGCCGAGACGGGACCCGATGAGGCACTGATCTACAATTCGAATTACTGATCTCAATGGATCTGTGCAGCAGCAGATGGCACTACTGAAAACCGGAAAGTTGAGGCATTGTGTGTATGTATGCAGGCATTTTGGACCAGTCTGTACAACGACAACCACGTGTTGGTCGACGTGGACTGCCGGGGAGTACAGGACGAGGTCTCTATGACATAAATGGTTTATCACTTCAAGCAAAGTCATCATAATTATCTTATTGGACAGGATGGGACGGGATGGATTGGATGGATGCAATGCAATGCGCCCTGGAAGATGGAGCCACCGGAATAAAAAATTACATGCCAGAAGCTGGGTGGGGTCTGCTAATTGAGGCTAGTAGTGTTGGTGTTAGTGGCTTGATACCTGTCGTCATCAGGCCGGGTCTTTAACGACCTCCACTACCTAGCGACCATGCATGGACATGGAACCTCCCTCCCTCGTCTCCCTCCTTGGAGTCTTCCTCAAACTACTTTTTTAGCTGCGCTGCCCTAATTTCCGTCTCAACCCATCCCATTCAATCCTGACGTATACACGACACAGCATTTCTTACTACGACTACCTTGACTCACATCTCAGCGTCATTGTTCACTCACCTCCGATAATCCGTGGCCTTGATCTTGATGCAAGCCATCTGTTGAGCTGAGCTGGCCTTGCGCCGCTTTCGATCTAGTCAAGCTTAAACCAGCCCGTCATGTTTGGAGGTTCAAGGAGGCATCGTCCTCCCACTCAGGTGAGCCGTCTTCCTCCTCTGCGCTGTTCACTGTCTATTGCGGCTCTTATAAAACCGGTTTTGGCTTTGGGCTTTTGGCTTTTCGCCCGCCACGGAACCGGCTCTGGTGGGCAAAAGCCATCAACTTAAGCTCACCCACTACTTATCGAGACTTGCCGCATTTGCTCATGTCTTTGATTGTTGTCTTTGGCCTTTATCCCTTGATGCGACGCTCCCCCTCTCCATCCAATTCTCTTTTCCTTTCCATCGCTTTCGCAATTACACGTCGTTGCTAACATGGCGCTCTCATCTCAGCCGTTGACCCGGGAGACTGCCAATCCCAACGCTGCGACAGCAGCCGCCTCGGCCTTTCTAAGGCGTGAATCGACGCCATCTCTGTCATCAGCTGCTGCGGCTGCTGCTCTCAAGGCTCGGCCTACAACCCCCACCAATGTATCGCAGGTGCAATCAAAACGAGCTGCGCGGAGGAGCGCTTCCGTCTCGTCTACGGGAAGTCGGGACAGGAGGAGCCGGGAACTACATCGATCGCCAAGCGCGAGCTCTATGACAGAACGGACCTTTCGATCACCCTCACCTTCGCCAGCCCGGGTCGCTGCCCCGCAAGCCCAGGATGTTCCTCCAGTGCCCAAGATTCCCCAGCATGAGCACAACAAGACCAATCCGAAGAGCACGGCCCACAAACGAGCAACAAGCTTGCAAACGCAACATTTCCAAACTGCAAGCCAAAAGATGAAAAACGGACAAACTCAAGGTTCATGGTTTGGGGCAGCTACAGGAAACGATTTGTCTAACGTGCGTCGCGCCCCTGTGGCTGATAAACGGGCATCAGCAGATTTACGGCCAAGCAGTCCGAACTCTATCAATTTCTCGTATCCTCGCTCTATGACAGAGTCTCCAAACCCATCAAGTAATGCAATGGTGTACGATCCCAATTCGAGACGGATGGTTCCTCAGGCACAGCTTTTGACGATAGATCAGACTGTCCGTGATGCATCGGAGAAACCTGTTCGCAAGCAAAAGCATGATGGATCCAGGACTGGCACTCACTTGTCCAAGGGAACCGTCGGGAGACTCAAGGGCACTGCAGTCGAGCCAGCCTCACCACCACCAAAGTCAGTCGCAAGCCCACAAAGCCCTTCGAATACCTATGCTGCGACAACACAACAGCCTGGGCACCCAGAGGCTGGCCTTGAATCTGAGCTCGAATCGGATCCTGAGTCTGAGCCGGAGACTAAGCGTGAGGCGAAGCTTGAAACCAGCTCCAACTCAAACCTATCAACTGGACAAACATTGATTCAGCAAGAACAAGAACCAGATGTCGAGCCATCGAGCCATCCGAGCCAGACTATTGTAATCCCACCAGCAGTAACAAAACCCGAAGCATCAGTTAGAAAGCGCCCCTCTGTAGTGCATGAAGACTCCGAACTAGAGGAGGAGGAACCGCGAGATGCTGCCCAGCTGGCGCCTGCTAACGAACGCCCAATGGATGGAGTAGATGCCATCCCTGTGAAATCAACCCCCCCACCTCAACAGTCACCGGAAGCTGCACCAGTCCCAGGTCCCAGTGAAACTGTGCGCCGAAACCGCGTGCATTCTGAGAGTCCTGCCCGCAGCCCTGCCCGTACAACCCATTTTGCTCCCAAGACCGATCAGCTACTCGTTAGGCATGAGCCGCCTCCAAGGTCGTTGTCGCCACGAAAATCCGCACTTAAGTACTCAAGTCCTCGGGATGCATCTCCCTCTGAAGATGGCTCAGATGCGTCTGCTGCCTGGTCAGGTATGGCCGGGCGTGAGGAGACAGAACTCTCGCGGAAGAAGAGCGTCAGGGTGAGCTTTGATGATGGAAACACGGCTGTTATAGGGAAGTCTATTCCATCTTCAGATACGGACTCGCCACAAATAGCCAGCCCACAGTCAAGAAAGTCTTGGCACAGCATCATTGGGCGAAACAAAAGAGACTCAGTAACTCTGGACGAGGATGAAACCATGACACCTCGTCCTGCTCTCCCCTCTTTTGGGAGTATTCGCGAGAAGAAGATCAGGGAGCCTGAAGAGCGACCTTTGGTCCGCCCTATGGAGAGATCGGCTTCACCTCCAGCTACAGATTCGTTGCCTTCAGAATCGAATCACAAAACTCCTGCCCAAGATTTGGCGCAGTCAAGTGATCTGGCTATTGGGTCGGTCTTGGCACAGGAACAGGCCTCTCGCAACGAAGCTAATACTTCCAGATACCGGGAACCACTGCCCCCCGTGGTCACTTCCGTTGATGGCCAAGGGTATATAAGCAATAGTGACCTGAGCTCTGATGATGAATCCGAATCAGGGGTTATGTCTAAATCCCAAGCTTCTGCTGACCCTGTGTCCGAGACCCAAACAACTATCAGCAACCCCGACAGCCCCTCTGAGAGCAGCTCGGCAAAGTCAAGTCCAAGCGACAGCATACCAACCATTTCGATAATACAACCCAGTCCTCGAATTCCCGATGAGAATCAGGCAGAGTCGCCGCAAGACTTCTTCGATGTTCCTGGGGGCTTCCCAACCGGCCCGACTGATGCTTCTAGTGAGAGGGCTATCTCCGAGGACGCCAAGGTATCCTCAACAGAGCCTCGCCCAAGTCAATCGCCTAAAGGAGCTGATCAGCCGGCACCAATCGTAACTCGTCGGTCCTTCGATTCCACCAGTGCTGTTTCTTCAAATTCTCAGATGCATGACATCCAGGAAGAGTCGGAAGAGTCGGATGGGAGCAGCATTTATAGTGACGCCTATGAGGATCTTTCTGACATGGAAGGTGATGGTTTCTTGTCCCTTGACGCTGTTGTTGACAGCCCCGTCGAATCAGCATTCTCTCAGAAGGTATTTGAGAAAGCCATCGCCAAATCCAAAGAAATCGATGCCTCTCAGCAGTCAACGCCTACAAAGACTCCCTCTCAGAAGCCTCTTCAAACGCCCAGTGACTGGGAAACGGCAAAGGCTTATTGGAGAAGTTTGAGTCCCAGGGACAGACGCCAGCTCGAGAAGGAGGCCATGGAGGACTCTGACGAGGAGGATATTCCAGCAGAGGCAGCCAGACGCTCGAAACACAAGACAAAGAATCAAACGAAGCAAAAGCAGAAACTTGTTGAAGAGCCCGTGCAAGAGCCCCTGG